TTTTGAGACATTTTATAATCATTTTTCTGAATTCTTTCTCAGGTATCTCCAAGGCCTGCCCTCCTTCCAGCATGGAGAGAAGGTCTACTTCTGGTTCATTTGTCTCAGATACTTTATCTTTTTTCTGGACATGTGCTGATATGGTCATCAGCTTTTGCTTCTTGGACATGTTTAATGTTTATCTGTGGCCCTAATATTTAATTAAGTATGTGTTTTGGTAATTTTTCTATGTTTTCTGATTACCTCCAGGAAGATGTGATCAGTTTGTGGTCTTCCCTTTTCACTCTCCTTATTGCTTAACTCAGAGTAACTTTTTTGGGCCTCAGTTGGGCCTGGGCCTTGGCAGCGGGCCATTTGGGCCTCGGGCAGGTGGGTTGAGCCTCGGGCAGGCGGTTTGGGCTTCAGGGGTCTGGGTATCAACAGCTGGGCATTGGGAGGCTTGGGCCTCAGCGGACGGGTCGGGAGGCTTGGGCCTCAGCGGACGGGTCGGGCGGATTGGGCCTCGGGGGGCCTGTGCCTCAGGGACTGGGCTGAGGTCGGGTTGGGCCTCCGGGGCCCTGGGCCTCAGTGACCTGCCTACGCGGCGGGTTGGGCTTTGGGGGTCCTGGACCTCCGCGGCGACGTGGCTGTGGACCGCCTGGGCCATGAGACAGGTAGGTGATTTGTGCCTTGGTTGCGCCTAGGCCTTTGTGACCAGTCTGTGGTTGGGTTGGTCCTCAGGGCAGGCCTTGGCCTCAGTGGGAGTGTCTGGGCCTTGGACTCAGTGGGCAGGCCTGTGCCTTGGGCGTTCCTGAGCCTCAGCAGCTTGGCAGAGGGCTGGTCTAGGCCAGGGCAGTAGAGGGCTGGGGGTCACGGCTGCAGGGAGGTAGTGTCCGTATTTGATGACGTAAAAAATGCCTCTGTCAGTCTCTGTACCGTGGGTACCCCAAATTTCCTGATATCCGTGCCGATATACCTCACTTTTTGTTCGGCTTTGTTAGTTTATGCTTCCTTTTCTCTGGAAATGCAGCCTCCTAAGTGGGGTTGCTCTAGCCCTGCATTCCAAGGTCTGCAGGGGGCAGAGGCACTCGCCGGCACAGGCGCGAAAGCGGGAGCCGCGTGCAGGCAGGCAAAAGCTCAAAATGCCTGTAATTCCTCAGCAATTTGATCTTTTAAAAAAAACGATTTCAGAATGTTGAAATATAAGATCTTATGTGTTCAAAGGCTGTCTGTCTGCTAGACAGAGGTTTCTTATGTGCAATTCCGCCCCTTTTCCCCGAGACTGCCCTACGTGAGCTGCCTGGTCAGGGAAGCCCTCTGCTTGTTTCTTAAGTTTTGACTATTGGACAGGATATGTACATTTCTAAAATGTTGTTTTATGGCAGTATTTCTCTATTCACATTTAACTGCTAACCTATGAACTATCCTTCCTTTAACCAACTCTAAAAGATGAGGAAGTGAAAGACAAAAGTGATAGGGGAAGACAAAGGCTGATATTTTAGAGAGCAGAGAGTCTGAGGAAAAAGCACATGACAGATGAGAATTATGGAATATTAAGAAACTGTTTTGACAATATGTGTGGAAATTGACTGGGAATTTATTTCACTGTGTACCACTCTACCAAAAACACAATCAAATCTTATTTTCTTAATATAAAAAATTGTTTTTAGAGTTAAGATTAATGTACACACAGACACACATGCACATAATAGGCAGGGGTAGCTTAGATTAAAATAAAGATTGGTTATAACAGTTTCCTAAATACTGGGAATTACTTCTTTAAATCAAAACCTTATTTTTGTATATAGCACCAAATTCATTGCATCAGGATCTTTTTATTTGACTTTTTTTAATCTTGTCATTTCATTTTTAAAATTTTTAGTTGCGAACCATTAGTTTCAACCTAGAAAAAATAAAAAGTTAGATATTACTGGAGTCCTGTTATGGACCTGTAGGCTAAGCACTGAACAGCTAACAACAAGGTCAGCAATTCAAAGCCACTAGTCGCTCCTCAGAAACCCCTATACAGAACCACTATGAGTCAGAACTAACTCAAAGATACTAAACAATAACAACTGTTGTTGTTGTTATTATTAAGTGCTGTCAAGTCAGTTCCAACTCATAGTGACCCTGTATAGGGTTTCCAAGGAATGAGTCGTGAATTTGAACTGCTAACCTTGTGGTTCAAACTGACCTTGTGGTTGGTTCAGTGTTTTATCCCACAGTGCCACACCAGAATTCCAAACAATAACAAATAGTACTAGTGATATTCAAGTTGCTATTTCTTCTAATAGAGGTGAAACATAAAAGCAAGTGTATTTAATAGATCTTATTAACAAATGCCAAAGGAAATTAAAGAAAAACAATTTAGTTTCGAGAATTGAAAACTACAATTACATGAGATTTAAAGAACAAAAGAATAATTGATTAACTTCACAAATAAAATGTACTAGATTTCACATAAATTAATAAAATATATCTAAAATGTTGTTCAAAGATCAGAAATAGTTGTTTTTATTTTGTCTTTGAACTAGAAACTATTTTTGAATCATATATTTTGTTTTCTAATTATCCTGTAATCTAAAATGAAAATATATTTTTTTAGCTTATAATTGCACCAGGAATAGAAGAGACTGCATTGATTATTCGACAAATTGCTGACCACAATTTAATGACCTCCCAGAGAGATCCTCATGAATGGTTGAACAAATCCTGGCTCCAAGTATCACCTTCTAAGGTATATTTTCTAATTGTATAAATTACATTTTTTCAAAGAAATTATTAATACATGTATCTGAATATTCTTTATGACAGCATATTTTTGCCCTATAGTGGGACAACAACTGGTACTCATTATTTTCCAGAATCATAGGTAGTTCTCAGTTTCACAGAATAATTTTTGTTTGTTTGTTTGATTTGGTTTGGTTTTTAATGAAGTTGAACACTTTTCATACGTTTATTGTTTAGATACCCTTTTTTGTTAATTACTTGTTCAAGTATTTTCACGTTTTTTTCTATTGGGTTACCATTCTCCTTTCATATTAATTTACAGTTCTTTACATATCCTGAATACAAGCCCTTATTTGGATGTAGGTATTGCAAATATATTTTCCCACTCTATAAGCTTACTTTTGTGTTTTTGAATGCATCTTTTGAACATCTTTAAGGAAGAGATGTTCTTGCTATTAATAAAGTCCACTTAGTACTTGCTGTGCCTTTTTTTTTCCTAAATATTTTATTGTGAATTATGTGATAGTTTACATGGGAGAACATTAGTTTTACATTCATCCTATCGTATATCGTTTCATTGTCATGGTTACATGCCTCCATGCCTCATCAACCAACCAAATGGTACCCCCCACAAACTTGCCCCCTGGTCATTAGCATACAGTCCCCCTTCCTGTCTGGGTCTAGAGTCCCCAGCCGCTTCATTTCTCTACGTCATTGTCTCTGCCTCCATCACCAGCGTCTGCTTCTCTGGGTAGGGTCCCTCACTCCGCTCTTCTTCCTTGATGTCAGAGAATAATTTTATGATGACTTTTATAATTCATGTTTAGCCTGTTATAATGACTTTAATGTCCATTGTTTAAATTTTAGTTACAGATGAAACCAGTTAATATATTAAAGAATAGCAAAATCCTGTCTTTTCATGATTTCTCAATAACTCAGTTATATAGTTGGAATTGAAAATAGGGCTGTGAAATACTTACATATTTTTATAAATTACTTTTGTTTAAGTGTCCAGGCTGCTAAGTTCTCATACCAGTCAAAGTACTGCCATTTCCTTTATTTAAAAATACATACATATAATGAAGTCATTTTAAAAAGAGTGATGAAGGTCTTTATGTACCAATATGAAACCATCTTAAGATTTATTATTAAATGAAAAATTAGGATTGCATAATAAAGCATATTATGTGATACCATTTGTCCACAGCAGGAAAAATAATACTTGTATGTTTGTAAATGAATAAAATATCTCTGCAAAGATACATAAGAAACAATAACATTGATTATCTTTAGATAGGAGCTCTGGTAGCGTAGTGGTTACAAATTGGGCTGCGAACCTTAAGGTCAGTGGTTCGAAACTACCAGCCGCTCCGCGGGAGAAAGATGAGGCTTTCTACTCCCGTAAAGATTTACACCCTCGGAAAACCTGTACAGGGTCGCTATGGGTCGGAACCGACTCGACGGCACTTAACAACAACAACAACAATCTTTAGATAGGAGAAATAAGGGAATGGGGTGGGAAAAGGTTTTTCATTGTATGCCCTTTATTGTTGTTAAGTGCTGTGGAGACAGTTCCAACTCATAGGGTTTGAACCAGTGACCTTGCAGTTAGCAGATCAGTGATTATCCTACGCCTTAATTATGAACCAACAGAGTACTTAATACATTAAAAAACAAATAAAATTATAAAATAAATAGTTAAGGTATAGTGATAGATATCCAGCCACAGAACTTTGATACACCTAAACAGGTTGTAGTATTATTGACAAGTCTGAGTATATCTACTATTATGTGTTGTATTTGTGTCTAATTTCCTTGCTATCAAGGTAAATCAAATCTACATTTCTGTTGTTTTATCAAATCAAAGAGGGTTCAAAAAGTCAGTGTAACACAGAAACTGCTATCATCAATTGAAGGTGACTTGTAATGAATCATTTGGGATGGGGTATTAGACTGAAAGAATTTTAAGTTCCTTCCTAATTCTGAGACATGACAAACACTAGACTGCTAACTGTACGGTTGGTGGTTCAAACCCATCAACTGCTCCATACGAGAAAGATCTCCTATAAAGATTTACATTCTTAGAAACCCTACATAGGGTCACTATGAGATGGAATTGACTTGATGGCAGTGGGTTTGGTTTGGGTTGGAATATAAACCTTTATTGCTTAAAGAAATTTATTTCCTTCCCAGCCATATTTTCTTTCTAGATGACCCAAATTCAGTGGTAGGTTTCATGGCAAAAATTTTAATCTGCTAGAGTAAGTAAAATAAAACAGATAATTTCCAAAATATTACTGACATTACTCCTTAAATTCTTTCCTAGGAAGAAATGTACTTACTTGATTTTCCATGTATTAATCCATTGGTGGCTCAGCTCATGTTAAATAAAGGACCTTCATTGCACTGGATATTAATAGCAACTGTTTGTCAACTTCAGGATCTCCTACCTGAAGTTCCAGAAAAAGTGTTAAAGGTTAGTTATTTGAAATCCATATTCTTATTCAAGATTATTTCCTTTCCACTGTGCATATTCCTTTTTACTGTAGTGTTTTCAAAATAAATGTATCTGCATTTAATTGCTTTGTGCTTCGCATAGCAAAGAAATAATTGCTTGAACTCAATTTCATATAGAAGTCTCATAGACTGCCAATCACATTATACATTTTAAAGTTCTTTATAATAATAACTCATTGCAGTCTGTCAATCACACTTTAAATCATTTTGAAATGGCATTATGCTAACAAATAACTAGATATGCACCCTATTCACATACATTTACAGTACTTCTTCCAACCTTTATGCCCTTCGATCAGAGTAGTAAATTAAGGGACTTTGACCTTATTAATACAAAAATAATTTTATTGAGGAAATATATGTAAATATTAAAAAATATGTAAATATAACATATTACTGTATAACTAAAAATTCTATTATAATAGTGAATAGACAGAAAGCTAAGTTTTAAGTTTTTCTTTTAACTTAGCCTCACTACTTTATGCTCTTATTACATGCATCAGTATAATATCTATGAATGGACTACCTCAGTGAAGTTGTATAACTCAATGGACTATTTATATCTGTGCCTTCATTCCATGTATATAAGCATCATCAATTGCTAGTCATATATTTACTGACTGATGTTAGTATTTTATTGTCATATTGTTTTGTTTTGTTTCTTTTTAGCATTTTTGTGACATCACTTCCTTATTCCAGATTAATTCTTCTCCCATAACAAAATCACCTCAAATTTCATCACCTCAGGAAAAGAGGAATTGGACTAGTAACTTTACATCTCAGAGTTCAACTTCTGGTTCTTCAGACTCTGTCATTCAAGAACATAATGAATCTTACCAGCACTCAGATTTAGGATATACAGTGCAGGAAGACACAAATACTGTTTCTAATTATAATTCTTCCCTTATGGGCCTAAGAGAAATACCATCTGTGGATTCTTATAATCAGACAAGCTACTGGAAAGACTCCAGTTGTAACCAAAACACAGTACAGCATACTCCATTTTTAATTAATACAGAATCAAGAAAAGTGACTGGTCATTCCTTTCAAAACCAGAATGATTCAGAATCAGATATCTTTGGTTTGGGTCTCACACAGATGAATTATGAGACCAGAATATCATCAACTCGTGAAAGAGTTGTTCTTAATTTTATAAATGATCAGAAAGAGGGAATATATGAAGCAAAAGGATCCATAAATAAAGAAGTGTATTCTCCTAGCTTCTCATTAGAAGAATCTCAATCTCATCTTCATTCAAACTTTAAGAAAAATATTTGGGAACAGAATCACTCATTCAGTTTACATTCTGGTGCATGTGACAAATGGTACTCTCAGAAAGATAATTTATTGACTAATCAGCAAAAATGCCTATCAGATGAGTTAAAAGATTTCACATATGAAAGTCCAAATGTTGGGACCAAAAAGATTTTCTGGAGAGAATTACCATCTGTCCCCAATTGGGATTTATTTCATTCTTCTGATTTTGGTCAAAAGGAATTTGACAGCCTATGTTTCTACCAAAGACCTGGAAAATGTTTAAGTCAGAAGAGGTACCCTGAATCTTCATCTAATCCAGGATACATGGAACCATTAACAGGTAATACTATCCAATAGTTGATAAAACTACTCTCAAATTTAATTTATGAGCTATCTTAAAATTTATTTAGGGGTCAAAGAGAAAATCAAAACTCTTAATTATATACAGGCCACAGACAGACAGAAATAAGTACTTGAGAACTTTAATTTTACCAACTTTCCATAGTCACCTGCCCTGTTTTAAGAGCCTACATCCTTATCCCAAGCAATAATCTTTAAAATTATTGACCTACTCAAATCAGATTACTTGGTCTTGACAGCTTATTTTCTTTTTTGACCTTTTACCATTCTTTTTCATAACCCATTATTGTGCTTTATCACTCTTTCTCCTGCCCACAGCTTGTTATTGTTAAGTGTCCTTGAGTTGGTTCTGACTCATAGTGACGTTGAATAGGGTTGCCGAGGAGCCACTGGTAGATTTGAACTGCTGACCTCGAGGTTTGCAGTCCAGTATTAAATCTAACGTCTAACTTTCCTGCAAAGTCCAGTTTCAGTGCCAACAACTCCTCTCTTAATTTTCCATGTTACTGCCCTGCCCAACATAAACTCTCTGTACTCAATATACTCTCTTTTCTAAAATTTTACAATGTATTTTATTTTAGTGTATAGGTATTAACTCTTCTACTGCACTGTAAATTCTTTGAGGAAAAATAAATATGCTCTTATTAATACAAACAACTTCTTATTACAAACATTTATGGAAAATAAATAATAATACCATATTTGTATGCAAATAACATGTGTGTTATGCCAGAACTGCTTTATTGTATTTAATCATTTCCACATATTATATGTGTTGGTGCATTATTTGAAAAAAAAGCAAAAACAAAACAACAATCATATATCATATCTTTGTAATTATAAATTAGCTAAAATCTAAGTAAAGCAGAAGGCTAAGAGCATCAGAAATTAAGTGGAGAAATCCTTATTGTGTGTGGTTGAGTTGCTTCTCACTCATAGCAACCCTGTGTCAGGTTTCCAAACACAGCTGGTGGGTTTTTTTATTTTGCTTTATGAATGAATCTATTATTTAGTTTAAAGGTAACCTCTGGAAGGAGCCCCTGGTGTGTTGGTTTGTTTCACATTTTTCACCCATTCTATTCAGGATCATCTATTGTGTCTGTGGTCAGAACAGTGGGTAATGATAGCCAGGTACTGTCTAGTTCTGGTTTCTAGATAGATGAGGCCATGGTTTGTGACGGCAATTAGTTCTGGGTACTAGATGTTTTTACTTTTTTTAAAAAAAGAGAGCCTTCAAACTTTCATGAACTCAAAACCTCAGAAAATCTAGATTTGCTCCCATATAATAGTCATAACATGTTCCTAGTTTTAATGGGGAGTATTCCATCCATACTTTTGTAAGAGCCTTTGTAGGAAATAGATGCTGAATGTCTTACAAACTCTTTTTAACATCTACTAGTGAAAATCAACTAGTTTGTCAGTTTGTTGTACTGTGGTGGCTTGTGTGTTTCTGTGATGCTGGAAGTTATGCTGCCACAAGTATTTTAAATACTAGCAGGGTCGCTCATGGTGGACAGGTTTTAGTAGAGCTTCCAGACTAAGACAGACTAGAAAGATGGAGAGGAAAACCACTTCTGAATAATTAGCCACTGAAAACTGTATGAATAGCAGCAGAACATTATCTGATATAGTGCTGGAAGATGAGTTCCTCAGGCTGGATAGCATTTAAAATCTAACTAGGGAAATGCTGCTTCCTCAAAGTAGAATTGACCTTAATAATGTTCATGGATCAAAGCTTTCAGGACCTTCATTTGCTGATGGGAAACAACTCAAAATGAGAAGAAAAAGCTACAAACTATTAATAATCAGAACATTAAATGTATAAAGTACAAATCTATGAAACTTGAAAGTGATCAAAAATTAAATAGAATGTGTAAAGATCCTAGATACTTTCAAGCTATAATGGACTAGTATTGGCCATTTTGAATTGGACGGTGATAAGATTTACTATTCTGGGAACAATAAATGTGGAATGGTGTCACCATCAAAAAGAGCATTTCAATATCTATCTAGAAGTATAATGCTATTTGTGATAATACCCATGCACCTAAAAGGAAGACCAGGTAATACCACTATTATTCTAATTCATGCACCAACCACTAGAGTCAGTTAATGATGAAATTAAAGAATTCTACCAACTTCTTCAGTCTGAAATTGGTCAAACATGCAATCCAGATCACTGATAACTACTGGTGAATGGAATGCAAAAATTGGAAACAAAGAGGAAGAACTGATAGTTGGAAAATATGGTCTTAGTCATAGAAACAATGCTGAAGATCACATGACTAAATTTTGCAAGACCAACAACTTCTTCATTGCAAATATAATATAGTTTTTACAATAACATACACAGTGACTATATACTGTCCTCACCAGATGGAATATACAGGAATCAAATAGACTACATCTGTGAGAAGACACTACAAAAAAGCTCAATATCATCAGCCTAAATAAGGCCAAGAGCCAACTGTGAAACATCATCAATTGTTCATATGCAGGTTCAGGCTGAGGTTGAAGAAAATTAAAGCAAGTCTCCAAGAGCCAAAATATGATATTAAGTATATCCCACCTGAGTTTAGAAATCATCTCAAGAATAGATTTGATGCATTAGATACTAATGACCGAAGACCAGAGGATTTGTGGGATGACATCAAGAACATCATGCATGAAGAAATCAAAAGCTCATTAACAAGACAAGGAAATAAATGAATGTCAGAAAAGATTCTGAAACTTTCTTTTGAACATAAAGAAGTTAAAGTAGCTATAAGAAATGATAAGGTAAAGTGCTGAATAGAAAATTTCAAAGGGCATCTGGAACTAGAAAACCTAAAGTGAAGAACATGCTCAGCATTTCTCAAGCTGAAAGAACTGGAGAAAAACTTCAAGCCCAGGGTTCCAATATTGAAGGCCTCCAGGGACAAAATATTGGATAATGTAGGAAACATCAAGAGAAAATAGAAGGAATGCACAGAGTTACTGTACCAAAAAGAATTGGCCAACATTCAGTCATCTCAAGAGGTACTATAAAATCAAGAACTAGTGGTATTGAAGGAAGAAGCCCAAAGTGGAAAACAAGGCCCTAGAAATTGACAGAATGCAAATACTGAGATATTTCAACAAACTGATGCAGCACTGAAGGCACTCACTTGTCTTGGAAGACAGTTATTTGTGTGCATTGCAAAGAAAGATGATTCAGTGGAATGCAGAAAATATTGTACAATATCAGTACTGCCACATACAAATCAATTTTTGCTGTGGGTAATTCAGAAATGGTTGCAGTAGTACTTCAGCGGGGAGCTGCCAGAAATTCAGGCTGAATTCAGAAGAGGGAGTGAAATGAAGAACACCATTGCCAATATCAGATGGATCTTGGCTGAAAGCAGAGAATACCAGAATGAGCAGAGCACAGACAAGATTTTATTCTCATAGTGTGGTCAGTAGGTATTTATTACTTACAGAATAAATAGGACAGGGATGAGTAGAACAGCAAACATTCTCATTAGCCATGTTTTCCCAAAGTTAAACTCCCATCCTAGAGTATATCTTGTCCATTACATTCACGTACACTCCACATTATGTCATGGGAGAAACAGCTGAAGCCTCTCTCTCCCAGTATACCAGCAAATAGCCATGTTTACATGCCATACATTCCTGAACAGAAAGCAAGTAAGCAAAAAGGTTAATAAAAATGGAAACCCTCCTGTGGTCAATGGACATTTCTCATTGCCCCTGTTCAGGGCAGCTGACCATCTCCTGATTGCTATTCTAGATTTACTGGCATCTGGAAACAGCCTTTCCTCCTTCACCCCACTACCAGAATTAACAGTGTTCTGGTTTTCTTAGAGGGCAATCATTTCTTCCTAAGGTGCATACTTCACTTTATTTCCATTGTTGTTGTTAAGTGCCATCGAGTTGGTTCCAACTCATAGCAACACTATATAAGCATTTCCAAGAAGGGTCTGGTGAATCTGAACTGCCAACCTTGCGGTTCAAACCAACCTTGTGGTCCAGTGCTTTATCCCACAGCACCACACTGGTAGCTGTTATGTCCATTAGTAGCTGTGAAGATGGTGAGGCAGGGTAGTTACAGTATGCACACCCAGGTACTTATCAATAGGTTTTACAGTTTTTTAAAAACATACTGAGATCTTGAATTTATGTTATTTATAATTTAACTGCATTCTGCTCAATTTATACTGATTTTTTCCATTTATTCATGATGAATTTTTCTGTACCGTGGTAAGTACATACAGAATTTTAATCACACTTTTCAAAATGCTAGCCATCTCTTAAAGAGTGAATTCACCTGTGAATCTGAGACACTGCATTTGTTAATTTGGATTTGTAGGTACTGTATAATTGAACAATATATGAATACCCTTTTCTGATAAGCAGAAATCATTAAGAAAGTGCAAAGGATAAATTCATTTCATGGGAAACCCTCCTAACAGATGAAAAAAATTTAGGAACTTTTAGAATTGGCTTCGTAAAATTAATATCAAGAAAAAAAATATAGTTGCTTGAAGTTGGGTAAGGTGGGAATATTTGCGTCACAGAAATGGCCAAATAATGTAAGTCAGACCTCCCTACAACCCACTTTCAGAGATCTAGTTATTTAACATTTACCAGTACACTTCTGGTGCCAGCCCAAGTTCTCCCATGGCTTGTAATGGAAGAAATAGGGTCCTATCAGTAGCATTTGTGTTTTATCTGATTATTCATGTTTATAATCATGTCCCTAAATTGGAGTTTAAGATCCATTTTCTAGACACAAATTTGCAGATAGATTTTTAACACACACACACACCCCATTGTAAAGAAATAAGTTCCTGGTAAAGATGATCTCCTACAGACTGAAGGGTGTATGTTCATTAGAATAAGAATAACCAAAGCCAAGTGAAAGAAAGCTGCAGTCAGGAGTAGGAAGGTGATATGTAGAAAGGAGAGAAAGGAATGGAGGGGTGGGAGGAGAGAGAAAAGAAAGGAAGAGGGAAGGAAGAAAATAAGGGACGGAACAAGGGAAATGGACAGAATTGCATGCACTCTCACCACACAGCAAGAGGCTGCTTCCTACAGTAGATAGAAAAAATACATATGTCTTTGTATTAGGCTCAGAATCACCCTATGTGAGCCTCTAGCTTGTATCTTGACTAATGACAGCCTATTGGAAGCCTTTTCGGAGTCCTGGTGTGGCACTGTAGATTACTATGCTAGACTGCAAAGTTGCTTTGAACCATCCGCAATTCATACTCAACCAGCTGCTCCTCAGAAACTCTATACAGGGTCACTATGGGTCAGAACTGACTCAACAGCACTTAATAGCAGCAACAACTATTGGAAATCTTCAGGAACCAGAAAGCCTTGTCTGAGTTGCTTCTTCATCCATTTTGGATTATTTTACTCAAAAAATATTATAACTGGATAGTACCTTAGTATAAGATCCTCATTTCACAGATATAACTATTTGTACAAGGCATGAGTACAAAATATATATATATATATTTATATGTATTTAACAATTTTTTTACTGGACCATTACTTATGGGTGTATTAATAATAAAAAAGTACAATAATGGAATTTAAAAATAATTGTTACTTTATATCAGTTTGGAAATGTTAACACTTGGTAGATAGGTGACTAAGAGACAAGATCTCCTTCAATAGATTAAAAAGAAAATAGGTATGCTTTATTGTTATCAGCAGTAAAACTATTTCCCCTTTTCTCCTTTTAACAGATTCCAAGTACTCACAACTCCCACAGTTCAAAAAACGACGTCTTATGTATGAAAAAATCCCTGGTAGAGCTGATGGACAAACTCGTCTGAGGTTTTTTTGAAAGGTGGAAAGAATAGTGCTATATATGCCATATTCCATTACTTTTGATGACAACCCAGTAACAAAAATTCAATTTGCTTGTACATTAGCGAAAATGCAATTACTTATTTTTCACATAAAGAATGCACACATGCATGCAATGCAAATTGCAGGCATAGGACCCTAACGCACAAGGAGGTTATACAGTTTGCCAAAAAAAAGAACATAGTAGGTTCATTATTTGCATAAAATACAGTATTTTCTTAGATACTCTCAGTGTTCTACATTCAATTTTCATATGTATTGTGTCCTCAAGTTTGCATTCTTGTAAGTAAAATACTCTAATTTACCGATTAGTATTATTGTCATAAAATTCAAAATGTCTTCCATATTCACCTAAACATCACAAGCCTTTTTAATTAGCCTCTATCATAGTTCTTCAAGTTAGTCTGATCTTTTAAGTCAAGAAGTAGAGATGACTATAGTCAACTTTCCAACACCAAGAAAGTTAAAACCTAGGGTGAAATTTCACCTTGTTTCATCTCAATGATTACCACCCCCTCGATGCAACATTTACTCCCCATGACTCCTCATTTACATCTTATATTTCACAAATGAACAAAGCAAAATTATTTTATGTACTCTTACAAAACAAAAATATATATTTAATTTAAATGTCCAATGGGCACATTCTGCCAGCCAGCCTCCTGCCTGCACGCACATAGCCACCGTCTTTGCTGTCGCCATTTTTCTAGGTAGAGATCTCACACTCTACTCATACTCTTCCTTTGTGATGGCTCTGGGATCATCTGTTCCTAAAATGAAAAATTACCTACTCCCTCTTTTTAATTACACATTTTCTAAAATCACATTTAATCCTGCTAATAATTATTCACAATTATGACAAATTGAATCAAAATCCTATCCATCTGGGAAAGAGGGAAACTATTTAGTGGGGATTCTGTCTTACCCCTCTCACCTCATTCTGCAGTTACGCACACTCATGAAAGTTTGTAAACCGGCCACATAGTGCCTTTGTAGCCCCTGCCATTTTTCACAGTCAGTATCTAAATTTTTTGTCCCTTTCAGTCAGTTGTCTTTTTACTTTCTCGATAAAACCCTTTGATGTTCAGCATTTTTCAATTTAATGAAGTCTAATTTATTGATTTTTTTTCTTTTGTTGTTTTTGCTTTTGATGTAATAACTAAGAATCCATTATCCAAAACAAGGTCTTGAAGTTTACTTCTGTTTTCTTCTGAGAGTTTTATGGGTTTTATTCTTATATTTAGGTAGTTAATCCATTTACTTAATTTTCATATATGGTGTTGAGGTTATTGGCCTAACTTCGTTTTTTATGTGTGTATATCACTCATTTTTTATTTTACTAATAGTTTTTGTTGTTGCTAAGTACCATCGGTCAGTTCTGGCTCATAGCAACCCTGTATAGTTTTTCAGAGGATCAACTGGTGAGTTTGAACTGCCGACCTTTCAGTTTGTAGTCCAGTATTTATCCTACAGTGCTACACCAGAATGGATTGAAATTGTTATCAAACAGACAGAATTCAGATCACTTAGATTTGAAAGTTTGGTGGCTAGAAGTAAGGGGAGTTCAATATATTCAAAGATACTGTCAATTTATTTATGGGTTTATATAGCTATTTCAGAGAGAAGGAGCCCTGTTGGCACAATGGTTAACTATTTGGCTGCTAATCATAAAGAGTAGCATTTTGAACTACAAGTCTGCTCACTGTGATTGTTAGATTCGATCCAGTTGGTTCTAACTCATAGCAGCCCTGGATACAACAGAAAGAAACACTGCCAGTTCCTGCACCATCTTCACAATCATTATCATGTTTGAGCCCATTTTGTAGTCACTATGTCAGTCTATCTCATTGTGGGTTTCCTCTTTGCTGCTCACCGTCTCCTAAGCATGATGTTCTCTAGGGACTGGTCGCTCTTGATAATATGTCCAAAGTATGTGAAATCAAATCTCCCAGACTTTGCTTCCAAGGAGCATCCTAGTTATTCTTCCAATATAGATTTGCTCATTTCTTCTGGAAGTCCATGGTATAGTCAATATTCTTTGCAAACACTATAATTCAAAGGCATCAATTCTTCTACAGTCTGCTTTATTCACTGTCCAGCTTTCACAGCCTTTGTCAAAGTGCACCTTACTGCTCAGAGTGACATTTTTGCTTTCTAATACTTCTGAAGCAGATTTGCCCAATGGAATACATCATTTGATTTCTTGACTGCTGCTACAATTAGTTTTGGTTGTGGAAATGAGATCCTTGGTAACGTCAATCTTTTCTCCACTTATCACGATGTCTTTTCTTGGTCCAGTTGTGAAAATTTTAAAACATTAAGATGCAGTCTTCATTAAGGTGTAATGCACAGTGAAAACTGCCCTTTTATCTTCATAAGTGCTTCAAATCCTCTGCTTCAGCAAGCAAGGTTGTGTCATCTGCATATCACAGATTGTTAATGTATCTTCCTCTAATCCAGATGCCATACTCTTTCTCATATAGTCTAACTTCTCAGATTATTTACTCAGAATACAGATTGAATAAGTAAGGTGAAAGAATACAACCCTGATGTACATCTTTCCTGTTTTTAATCCACAAAGTATCCCCTTGTTCTTTTTGAACAACTGCCTCTTCACCTATGTACAGGTTCCTCTTGAGCACAATTAAGTGATCTGAAATTCCTGTTCTTCACAATGTTACCCATAATTTTTACTATCCACACAGTCAAATGTCTTGACATAGTCAGTAAAACACAGTTAAACATTTTTCTGGTATTCTTTGCTTTTAGCCAAGGTCTGTCTGACATCAACAATGATGCCCATTGTTCATCATCCCCTCCTAAATGCAGCTTGAATTTCTGGCAGTTTCCTGTGGATGTATTGCTGCAGCCATTTTTTAATTATCTTTAGCAAAACTTTATTTGCATGAGCTATTAATGATAATGTTCAATGATTTCTGCATTTTGTTGGATCACCTTTCTTTGGAAAGAAATGCACATGGGTGTCTCCTAGTCAGTTGGCCAGGTAGCTGTCTTCCAAATTCCTTGGCATAGCCAAGTGCGTGCCTCCAACTTTTCATCCATTTGTTCAAACATTTCAATTTATATTCCATTCATTCCGAGAACTTGTTTTTCTCTCTTACCATCAGTGTAGCTTGGACTTCCCTTCCTTCAATACCTTTAATTCTTGATCATATGCTACCTCTTGAAATGATTGAATGTCATCCAATTCTCTTTGGAACAGTGACTGTGTATTCTTTCCATCGTCCCTTGATTCTTCTTGTGTCATTAAATATGTTGCCGATAGAATTCTTAAAATTTGCCACTTAAGCCTTTGATTTTTTCATCAGTATTTCAGTTTGAGAATGCCAAGAATGTTCTCTTTTGGTTTTCTAACTCCAGGTGTGTGCACATTTTGTTAAAATACTTGAGTGTGCCTTCTCAAGCTGTCTTTTGCACTGTTCACGTATTTTACGTAATCATTGCTTCCATTCAGCTACTCTGCATTTAAAAGCAAGTTTCAGAGTCTCTTCTGACATCCATTTTTATCTTTTCTTTCTTTCCTGTCCTTAATGACCTTTTGATTTCTTAATGTCTGATGTCATTGATGTCATCTCATAACTCTCTTGATCTTCAGTCATTATTAGTGTTCAGTGCATTAAATGTATTCTTGAGATGATCTTTAAATCCAGGTGGTAGGATGCATTCAAGGTCATACTTTGGCTCTCATGGATGTGTTTCCGTATTCTTCAATTTCAATTTGAACTGGAATATGAGCAAGTGATGGTCTGTTCCAAAGTCAGCCTCTGGCCTTGTTTTGACAAAAGATAATGGGCTTCTCTGTCATCTCTTTCCACAGTTATAGTCAATTTGGTTCCTGTATATTCTATTCAGCAAGATCTGCATGTACAGTCACCAGTTATGCTGTTGAAAAAGGGTATTTGTCACGAATAAGTAGTTGATCTTACAAAATGCTATCATGTGTTCTCTGGCATTATTTCTGTCTCCAATGCCATATTTTCCTACTACTGGTTTTGTTTTGTTTTACCTTTTTCATGGTGTATTATTTTTTTGATGTGGTACTGGATTCTGTTGGCTAGGATTTTGTTGAGAATTTTTGCATCTATGTTCATGAGGGATATATTGGTCTGTTGTTTTCTATCTTAGTGATCTCCTTCCCTGGTTTTGGTATGAGGGTTATGCGTGCTTCGTAAAAAGTATTAGGAAGTTTTCCGTACTCTTCTATATTCTGGAATAATTTGAGTAGAATTGGTGACAACCCTTCCCTGAATGTTGGTAGAACTCACCAGTGAAGCCGTTTGGGCCTGGACTTCTTTCGGTTGGGAGTTTTTTGATAACCTGATCAATTTCTTCTTTTGTTATGGGTCTGTTCAAGTTTTCTACTTCACTCTGTGTAAGTTTTGGTAGGTCGTGTTTTTCTAAAAATGCATCCATCTCTTCTAAGTTTTTCAATTTGGTTCCATTGTAACATCGCTTGTGTGGTTTCTAATGCAAGTTATTTGTGTCTTCTCCCTCTTTTCTTTTTTTAGGTTTGCCAATTTTATTAATCCTTTCAAAGAACCAGCTTCTTGTCCTGTTGATTCTTTCTATAGTTTTTCTGTTTTCCATCTCATTTATTTCTGCTCTTATCTTTATTATTTCTTTTCTTTTGGTGACTGTAGGTTCCCTCTGTTGGTCAGTTTCTAATTGTTGGAGATGCTGCGTTAATGCGTTAATTTTGGTTCTTTCTTCTTTTTGGATGTGCACATTTATCGCAATAAATTGTCCTCTCAACACCACTTTCGCTGTGTCCCAAAGATTTTGATATGTTGTGTTTTCATTCTCGTTTATATCTAGGAACTTTATGAATTCATGTTTAATTTCTTCTTTTACCCAGTTACTTTTCAGCAGGGTGTTGTTCAGTTTCCATGTATTCGACTTTATTTCCTTGGTCTTCTTGTTGATTTCTAGTTTTATAGCATTGTGGTCTGAAAAAAT